GTGCTTTGCTAAGCTTGTTCTAAGTAGGTGCTTTAGACCACTGAGCCATCTCTCCAGCCCCAGTATTCACAATTTGTAGATTTAAAAAATATGTCATCAATTCAAAAATTTGAAATCTTTAATGCTATTGTTTGTGCAGCTAGACACATTTATTCAACTAGATCAAAATCCTCAGAGAAACCAACTCCACAGCTTTTTAAGGGGCAGTTCTCACAAGAAGAGATTAGGGCATGTGTGCATCTTGGGGAGCTGGGTCTACAGACTTCTGAAAAAACCTTTTATGCTTTTTTATATTTAGAAAGTATCCTGACCTCTTTCCCTGGCAATGTTTGTCTAAAGAAAACCTTTCTTTAGGATGGGCTTTAGCAAGGTGGTCTTTGTCAGGGGTCTTTTCAAAGAAGGTAGTTATTGGAAACAACACTACAACAATCTATATACAAAATCTATGTACTTATTTTTGTTACTTAATTTTTTAATGCATTTGGTACACGGTGTCACTACACAGCTTGGACTCGTAGGGATCTTCCTGCTTTCAGCCTCCCCAGTACTGGGATTACAGATGTGCGCCACCACGCTGGGACTTGGGGGCCAGCTCAGTGTGTGTGTGTGGAGGGGGCCCGGCATGTGGTGCTGGGGTTTGAACCTGTGCTTGCCTAAGCAGGTGCTTAGTCCGCTGAGCTATTTCGCTGGCCCACAAAATCTATTTTGTAGTTATTTATAGGGATAGAAAATACTTCTACCTTTTCAGTGCCAAGAAATCAAGCACAAGAGCAATACAATTAGGCAGACATGGCTGAGAGCAGGAGGGGAGGGAGGTGAGATAGAAGGTGGGTGGGTGGGTGGGTGTGTGGGTGTGTGTTGCGCAGGCGCAGACAATGGCTTGCGCTGAATAATACATGATCGCCATCTGCAGGATTCATTTGAAACAACAAGCAGTAATCAAAGAACCTAATGTTTTCCATAATTAAGATACTATTTATGAACAAGTAGACAACAAAGCCAGGAATAAATTATTTTCATTTAATATGCCTGAACTCCTATTATTTCAAGCTTCCAGCATGTGACTCTTGCAATATCACTGAGATACTGTCAGCCAAAATTAGAAATTAAACTCTAACATCATAAGAGCAGTAAATTAACTCATCAGCAAATGCAGTTCAGGAAGAACTAGACAGGAAGGAAATAAACAGACACGTTCCTCCACTTTATTTCTGGCTGTTTCCCTTCCCTATCCTAAGTAACATTTCATACAAATCATCCTCAGTTTTATTCACCTGAAGATATAAATGACTGACACTTTTATTAGAGGCACTCATGTTTAATAATAGATGATAAAAGTCTTAATTAAAAAAGGCTGAGAAACTCTAATAAGAATTTCTAGTAGATGTCAACTGTTGGACTGGTGATAGCAGAGCAAGATAACCATCTCCTTTACAAAATTCTTCATTGTTCCTTTTTAAATAACTAGGGCGTTCCTGCTGATAACTTCTTCAAATACAAATGTTTAGAAGTATTCTCCCTCCCCGGAAGGTCAGACTAATTTAACAGCTGCACCTGGCATTTGTACATTTCTAATGATACTAGTATTTTGGGAACATAGTTTCCCACCTCAGTGCTTCTCAACTGTTATTAAACTTTTGTGTGCTTCCTTCTCACTTTTCTTTTAAATTCAATCGCAGGGGACCAGGGGACCGCGGTTTGATCCCCAGTTCCACATGCTGCACCAGACCTGCCCTTAAGGCAGCCTGAGCCAGCCCAAAAAAAAAAAAAAGAGAGAATCCTCAGTTCCATTATTTGAGGGTACTTGAGTAAGCTAAAATAAAAACTGGCAGTATGGCAGAGCTTAGTGCTTCCCTGTGTGTGGTCTCTGGACCAGCAGCAGCAGTGTGCAGGCTGGCAAGGACTTGAGCATCCACTTGCAGGTCACTATCTAGTTGCTGTCCCTCCTAAAAACATGTAGGTGACAGCTAGACGTGGTGGCACCTGCCTATAATCTCAGCACTGGGGAAGCTGAAGCAGGTGGATCATAAATTCAAGGCCAGTCTGCATGACAAGCGACTATGAGACATAGCTTTAAATGACAATCTAGCTGTGATCCGATTTCCACCGGTACCACCAGTTATACTCAAGAGCTTGGTTCACACCGTCCTCCCTCGTTTTCCTCCCACTAACTTTCGAGGACCAAGAGTATGGTCCTTGAATGCATAGTAAGAGACCTTATAAACACTACTAGATCCTCATTTTAAACTGAGCCCTACTGAAGTGTTTGCTCATTTCCCCTGTAATTCTGTTCAGTACCTGTTGCTTCAGCCACACACACACTTCTTTCAGTTCAACCCAGTTCCATTTTGTTGACTTTATTTGCTGTGAATTTGGCCTGGACAACCAGAAGCTTGTGTAAGACACTTAGGTAGCATAAAAAGTTCAGATACTTGAGGATCAACAAGAAATTCATGTAGCAAAACAATGTAGCTGACAGGACACATGCTTTTTTGATTTAAAGATTAAAGGAAATCTTCAGGTGATTTTTTTTTGTCAAAATACAGACTGCAATCTTGATAAGTAATTATAACTATCTGAGGTTTCTTTTAGTCACTAGTTAGACAATTAATTTTTTCTCATTTCAATAATCCCAAACAGAAAATACCACATATGCATATATTAAAGTGTTCATACATTTCCATTTATAAGGCACAAAACTCACAAATCTCTCAAAGAAAAACACAAAGGCTTGAAGACAAAAAAAGTAATCTCATAATAGAGGCTTCTCCAACTCAAGTTCAAACAGGCCACTTTCATTTAATAAACAGGGACGTGCTACTGCGGGGTAACGCAGCCTGTGAAGAGCAGGCGCCGTGGAGAGCGCGCCCTGTGAAGAATGGGCTCCGAAGCCCTTCCTCCGATGCAGTCGCCTTCATTGGATCAGTGCAGAAGTCGCCCTAGAGAGGGCTGTGTAGCCTGAACACATGGAGTGTAAGTATCACCGTCCCACAGAGTCCGCAGGGCAGCATGTTCCTAACAGAAAGTTTGGGCTGCCAGGTGCCTCATTCATTCACTCTTACTCAAAGAGGCTTCAGGGATCAACCACAGTGAGCATTCGTGTTTACTTGGCCAGGACTTGACTATATTAAGGGTTCTGCTGAAACGTGAGGCAGAACTGCTTGCCTGAGAACCCTGAATTACATCCCCTTCTTCATGGGGCAGCATCTACATAGTAGACTAGACCTTAAAATCCTCTTGGAATAATCAGATCCCCCAGAGGGTCCTTAGAACCAGTACACTCTATCAAAGGCATTTTAAACATGCTGGTCAAATCTGGAAGGTCCCCAGAGCAACCCCAGGCCTACTGGTCTGTAAGGCTGCCCTATTTAATAGTTCTCAAACAATCCTGCAGTCTACTGCATAAAACAGAAAGGTCCCAAGACACAAACCCAGCAAGAAAGTCTGTGCTTGGTGGCTGGGCCTCCTGGGAGGTCTTGGCACTGAACTTTCTAGTAGGGTTACATTGGTATTATGTCGGAGTTAAGCTTCCTGGAAGCGCACATGGCTCCAAACATTTCCAGGAGTACCTAAGACTGCTTCAGAGTCCTTTATATTATCATGCAAAATAGGGATGGGAGTAAACACTACTTCAGACTAAGCCAGGCAGACAGGTGTCCTGAGAAAAGGGTGTTACAGTAGGGACCAGAAGTCAGGTGAACCAAGGAATTCATTATGTGGAAGGCTTTCACTAAATCATCTCGAGTATTGACTTTCCATTCGAGGTATTCTGAAATCCAGTAAGACTGTGCCAAAGACCAGCACAGTGGAATAGCTATTCAAGTAGGATGAGGGCCAACCACTTGCTTACTTCCCAACATAATTCTAATATCCACTCAGTTCTAGGACTCTGGAATCCACAATGAGAATTCTGCTACATTTTCAGACAAGAAGATGGTTCTTTCTAGTTCTGTGTCCCGTAAGTTTTATCTAACATCCCTTCTCTTGTAAGACAATGACCCAGAAGAAAAAGGAATTTTCCTTTTACTAACAAAACTTTTGAATCCTTTGGATTTGAAATGCTGCAGCCATAGTGTATCCCTGGAAATACATATTAATTTAAAAATCAACACTTAAAACTGAGAAGCCAACTTCTGTTGGCGCATCAAGTATTCCCCGACCCACAAGGGACGGCTCCACACCTCAGGCCCACCCATCAGCCTCAGGAGTCTTTCTTGATCAGTCTGGCCTTGACTTTGTGCCTCAGGAGAGCTGCCGTGGCAGCACTGCAGGCGGTCAAGACGAAGAAGGACAGGCACGCCGCGTAGACAGCCGTGGGGCCGTGGCGCTGCAAGAAGATCTCGCGGCGGCCCTGGTAGTCCAGGAGGATGGCCTCCAGCTGGGACAGCGTGCACACAGACAGGCAGGCATGGAAGATCTGGTGGCCGTGCCCCACGATGTCACAGGCCCCGGGGAAGTACTTCTCGGGCACCGGACAGGAGAAGAAGTAGGCGCTGACCAGGAAGAAGAGGATCTGCAGGGTGTGGAACCAGGCGGCGCGCTCCTGGCAGCCGGCCAGGTGGCACAGCGCCACCCTGTGCGCCACGGGGCTGATGTCCAGCACGAAGGCCAGCCCCGCGGGCACCACCTGGCACACCTTCCGCATCACCGGGTACGGCCTGCGGTAGCGGTACTTGGCGTAGCAGCAGCCGGCGCACGACAGCCAGCCGCAGAAGGCGGCGGCGGGCAGGAAGAAGAGCCAGAAGCGCTCGTACCACGCCTGGTCGGAGCTGTAGAAGAAGTGCGCCAGCGCGCTGCCGTACTGGTACACGCTGACGCCCACGTAGTCCGCGAAGTAGAGCGTGTAGTGCGCCAGCTCGGAGCGCGACTGCAGCAGGTGCGCCAGCAGGCTGCACGTGAGGTAGGCCACGGAGGACAGCGCGAAGAGGCGCAGCGGCAGCGCGTGCGGCGCCCAGGGCAGCGCCTCGGCCTCGGCGAAGGCGCGGAAGCGCAGCAGCACGGCCAGCGCCGCCAGCAGGTGCGTCCACACGTTCACCACCTCGTTGTGCTTCTGGAAGAGGCTGAGGAAGTAGTAGCGCCAGCGGTGGCCTGTGGGCCGGTAGCCGGCGCGGATGTAGGGCTCGCGAAAGAGCTGCGGCACGTCGGTCTCCAGGACGGTGCGCGGCATCTGCGGAAGGCCGCCCTCCAGCACCTTGGGCAGGCGGCGCAGCTG